TTGATCCTCTATGGTCTATTGTTTCCCGGGGAACAGGAGAGGATCCAAAATCTGAACTACATCTACAACTGCAATGACGTCGAGGCTCTGTGGATGCTTCGAATGAAAAGAGCACTATTTGCCAGGCTTATCAAGACCTTCAGGAGCAGGGGGATGCTACAAGATAGCATCAACACCAGTGTCGAAGACCAAGTGGCCATGTTCCTCCATGTTGTTAGCCATAACCAGAGGTTCAGGGTCATTCAAAACATGTTCAGGAGATCAATGGAGACCATCTCTAGGTACTTCAAGCAAGTGCTTTTTGCTATTGGGGATCTTAGAGGATAGATGATCAGGAGACCATCTGGTCAAACTCCGTCCAAGATTCGCGGAAGCCCAAGATGGTATCCATACTTCAAGGTGAGCATTGACAATATACACTATTCATGGCTTGATATGCTTGTATTGTTGAAGTTGAGCACTAACACAGGCTTGTGATGCCATTTTCAGGATTGCATTGGGGCAATAGATGGTACTCATGTTACTGCCAGAGTTCCTAGGTCACAGTCTGCAGCATACATGGGGAGGAAGCACTACACAAACCAGAATGTGCTTGCTGCTGTTGACTTTGATCTGAAGTTCACATATGTGTTGGCTGGCTGAGAGGGGTCAGCGCATGATGCTAACATTCTCACTGACAGGATGACTCGACCTGATGGGATCAACATCCCCGACGGCAAGTTCTACCTTGGAGATGCTGGCTTTGCATGTCGGCCAGGTATTCTTTCACCCTTCAGGAAAACCAGATACCATCTCAATGAGTTCTCTGGTAGGAACTATCCTAGGACTGCACAGGAGCTATTTAATCTCAGACACTCCAGTCTTAGAGTAACTGTTGAGAGGGCATTTGGAGCTCTGAAGAATAGGTTTAAGATCCTGGATCAGAAGCCATTCCACCCATACTGCACTCAGGTTAAGCTAGTACTTGCTTGTTGCATTCTGCATAACTGGATCCTCCACTGGGGCTTTGATGAACACGTGCCCGAGGAGGAAGAGGTCGAGCCTGACGATGTTGTTAGCTTCGGCCATGGTGTGGAGGCATTTGACAATGACGCTTGGAAGAATAAAAGGTTGGAATGGGCAAAGGTGATGTGGCTTAACAGAGGTCAGTGCAGGATTTGAAGAAGTTGGAATAAGAAGAAGAAGAAGAAGAAGAAGAAGAAGAAGAAGAAGAAGAAGAAGAAGAAGAAGAAGAAGAAGAAGCAACAGTAGCAGAAGCACCAGCAGAAGCAGAAGCAGAAGAAGAGGAAGAGGAAGATCTGGTAGCAGCAACACCGATGAACTATCCCCTATTTAGCCTATGGCTCTTAATAATTTGAACTGTCATTTGATAGTAGTTAGGATGAACTGTCATTTGTTTAAGTAGCTGGCGCTACATGTTCAGATTCTGCGTGGTAAGCTCACCACTAGTTAGAAGTGGTGACAACACCTTATGCAGGTTGCAACCAAACACCATGTCATATTTGCACCTAATGCAATGCGGGCAACCAAACATCGGATCAAAAATGGTTGTCTCATGCAACTAGGGGCATGCGGGCAACCAAACTATGTGCATCTGGTTTTTTTTGGGCTTGCATCCCCTCAAACCGGCTCAATAGAGCCAGACTCGCCGGGCCAGGCTGGATTGGCAATGTAACCAAACACGCCCCTAGTGTTTGTATCTTCATCTTTAGCCTGCCTTTTAGCCCTTTGTTTGTAAAATTCATTGAGTTTAGTAGATTTTGTTCATACCAGGTGATCTGTGAGTTTTTTTACCACATGATCTTGTTAGTGAAGATGCTTCATTTGGATTTAGTTAATTTTAAAAAATGATTAAATTTATTATAAAAGTTCATCGGAAGTACCAAGCATCTAAAAGTAATAAAAAATACAACGAGATTCCGAGACCACCTGCCGCCAGAGCAAGCCGTCGACGCGTCGATGTCGCCGCTCCCCTACCGGAGCGGGTTTGACCTTGTCAATGACAACCGGAAAGTCTTCATGCACGTGCCCCTAAGGACCAGTGCCTGGAGCTACAGTTGTCGCCGTTAAACCCTTGCATAGATCTGAAGCACCTCACCAAATATTGCCACATGACGAGAAACCCTTACCTCACCGCCCCAAGGAGATGGCGGGAATCTATGCCAGAGCTCTGTTGACTACTTCCAGACGGATGAACTTGAGGAGGATCGGGTCCCGGAAGATAAACTCAAAAAAGAAGCGCCGCCATCCATCCAAGTGTCGCGCCTGCCAGGACTAAAAAACCCTAATCTAAACTACCAATCGGAGCGGAGGCAAGGGGATTCCCCTCCCCTACCACCAGTCGTTGGATGGATTTAATTAATCTGATCTTCAATGTTAAGCTCTTGTTGGGTTGGTTTTTTCTTCCTACACCATCTCTTTCGTGTCCCTGACAGAGCGCTAGGGCATCTACAATGCAGACTCGCAAACTTCCTCCGCGTCTGTCCGAGGATAGGGGGAACCAGTCCGCGGACACTGATGCCGAAGGCCGCCATCCAACGCTGCATGCATACATTTCAACCACGGTTCAAACCAACCGTACAAAATTCTTGCAAAAAGGTCGATATTCATCAAAGTTCAGATAGGAAATAGCACAAATCATCCATACATATCATGCAAATAAGTCTAGTACTACAACGATTAACCGAATGTCCAACAAGTTTTCATCAATGGATCATGTCATCCCACACACTGCCCCTTCAGCTTCATCCAACTGTGTGTGTATGTAAATGACTGTCCCTGTGTCCTGCGGTACGCCACGACGGCGTGTGCGGGTTACATAATGTGTAGACCAATATTGAGTGAGTGAATGATTTAAACGAGTTGAGGAAAAAGAAGCAAAACTTACAATCTCCTTCTTTGCCATGTGCAATGACCACCTTGCCTCCAACTAACCAACCACGTGACAAAACTTGGTGATGATGGTTTGGATGGCGTATCAGTGATACGACAACGACCTCACATTGCGTTTTTGAATGATGTGCATGTCGTAGAGTGCAATGTGCTTCGTGCGTGAAACGATTCTTGCACTTGCTGCCAGAAGGTCCCCCCCCCCCTCTGCTCCTGCCTACGAAATCCGCTGATACGGCCAATCACACATCGCACAACAGCTCATCCTCCATGGTTGGGTACCACGCCATCCTTCGTACTCTGAAAAACTACATGGCGTCCGAAATTAAGCTAAATGGCATTTGACCGAACACCTGCCGGGCGTGGTGTCCGCCATGGAGGGCGTTGACCGGGGGGGGGGGAGTGTACTTGGGTACAAACGGCTCCATCGGTGCTGGAAGGCGATGCCTCTGTGGCGGCCGAAGAGGTACATCAGCGATGATGGAGGTGGAGGGTGCTGATGCAAAGTAAGAGGGGAAGGGGCGGGGTGGGAGGAAATGGGACCGGGAAGGGGATTTAGTGGGCCTCGGGTGTCGGAGAAAATGTGTACGGACCGCCGAGCAAATCGATACATGTTTGCGTGGATGATACAACACGTCTGGATCGCGCGATTGCGGGTAGTTTGACGGTCCGCGTTGGAGATGCCCTTAGCCCTAACAAAAAAGGGGAAGCTTCTTGTACTGTTCTAAGCCTCTTCGGCATGATTTTGAAAATCTTTCTCAAGAAGCCACAAAATTTGAAACTTAAAACAAGTGCTTGGGCCTACGAAATTGGCCATCAGTAGAGATGAGAATGGACACATGATCACTCAAAACAGTAGGCAGATTAAGCACTTTGGTATCGGGGTAAACAGCACACCAGTCCGGATTTCCCAGCCTCTCTCTCACCCAGCGGCGGCTTGTGAATGGCGATAGGAAATCCGTGGCACCAACCAGCACCGGTGGGATCTGGCAGTGCGCGCGAAACGAGACAAGCACTGAGCTGTCGAGCTCCCCACCCTCAGCGCCTAGCGCATTTGTCTTGCTCCACCGCCACCGGGCCAGCGAGCGACAGTGCCACCGGCCGCCACTCTGGAGCGTCAGGGGTGACTGGCAGGCGAGCTAGCCTCTAGCGATTAGACAGGCGAGCCAAGCTTTCCCTGACTGCTACAGCGCGCTGCGCTCCCGCTCTGGTCCTCCCGACTTGGCCTTCTCTAGCGATGGGGTAGCATGGACGGACGTATATGCACCGATGGCACAGTGCACCCAAATCCTTCCTCGTGTCCGTGGTGCAGCCTCTGCCTCTCCTTCCTCTGTCCTTCCTTCCTAGGAGTGCTATATATGGCGTGTGTCGCCGTGCCTTCCTCATCCTCACACCTCACTCTCAGTTTTCTTGAATTGTGGAGCTGTTTCGTCGGCATTGTATTGCCGGGGTGCAGCTTAGCCGTGTATGGATGAATCGATGGTGCAGTCCGACCAGCTTTGAATGCTTGATGCAAAAGGTTAGTGCATGTATGGCTGGCTGGTGCCGCTTGCCTGGCTCCCTGAATGCCATCCGGGAAGCGCGCCACTGTGGGAGGCGTCCCTCCTGGTTGGCATTGAGGGAGTCAAGCAGGCCTCGGCTCCTCCTTCCTTCCTTCCTTCCTTCCTTCCTTTACTATGCCTTTCTTCAGGTCTTGCTGCCACTTTGCTAACTGTCTGCGACGGCTTATCCTATCCGTGTGTTTTTCATAAACCAATACAAGTTGTTCTACCATGCATTGTGGGATGCCCATTTGTATTCATTCATTTACTAAGAAGTATACCAAAATGCAAGGCGTTTTCGGGTTTTTTTTTCTTTTGAAACGGAAGTTTTGCGTAGGCTCTACTGAAGTTTTCGGGTTTTTCGTAGGGCATAAAAGGTCACATAGGTTGACAGCCAAATGCATTCGGTACCAGCCACTAGTAACACTAGCATTAGGTTTGAACCATGGAACTACATCGATACTAGGGGCAATGTATATATTTACACTTTCCTTGGTAGCAACATCGACGTTCTTTTCTCGATATCCTAAGTGTGCACAAACTATATAGCTTGCTTCTCGCTCAAGAGCTTCAGTAGAGCCTAATCCTTGTGGAGATCGCTCTCTGGCAAAGGGGGCAAACCTTCAGATCTTTCCCGCAGTCGGCGCATGTCTGCATTATTCCGACACATCATCGCTTTATCAGTTCAAAAACTTGGTGATTTAACATCAGACCCCAAAAAACATTTAAGATGCATTTTCAGGACGTTTGAATACCTGGTGCCCACATCCAAAAGCCAGGTTCTTTGCTTCAGACCAGCAGATTGGACAAGTCTGCACAACGAGTTCAGCATTGGATACAAGTGTCAAGCGTAGCCACATCACTCAGCATACAAAAATTGCTGCTTACAAGACACTGAAACGTACCTGCTGATCACCCACATCACTGTCCTGTCGAGGTGCTGATGCATTCTTCTGTGGCGACCCATAGCTGGTGCCAGGCGATTGAGTCTGCTTGACAGTTGAGCATCCAGAGGGTTGTCGATAGACACTCACAGGTGGAGGTAACACTGATCGGTGCGGAAATCCTCTTTGTTTGCTGCCCAAGAGAAATACAAAGGAGTTGGGACTACTGCTGCAGAAAGGCCAGGGCTGTAGTTTTTCAGCAATTATGTGAGTTTGGTTAAATAGTAAAATACCCAAGAAGCTGGAGGTTCATTGTTGCCTTGAACTGAGCTGGGATCTCCATAAGTGCTGAAAGAGCAAATTCTGCCTCCTTTTTGCTAGTAGGAATAGGCCTTGACATGATCTCTGTGAAGTTAACAAACTGCAGTGAACCAACATCAGTATTTCTCATGCTAAGTCCAGTCCAAATATAGACGGTCAATCAACAAAGATTAACAAAAGGATTTACCTGGAAATTATCAAATGCACGAGAAGGTATGTTGTCATCAAATTGCCTCATCATATCCCAGGGCCCATCACCGACTCCAACAAGCACAATTGACAAAGGGTAGTCACTGGAAAAAGAAATCGCAATTGTGTTGAAATGTATGAGTTCAGTAAGACAGTTTCTAAGTAAATACAATTTAAAAATGATCTTAATTGTGGAAACATCAGGTATATTATTACCTTGCTTTCACAATGGCATCTATAGTTTCCCTTTCCTGTGGGCTCAACTGGCCATTACCAGTGTCAACACTGCGTGTAACCTGTGCGAATTTGCAAGGAAAGCATAACAAGATTAATGAATTATGAACTCATTAACTCAGGTAATAGTTTACAAAAGAATCAGCACAGTACTGGTACGAGAATAAACCTGTCCATCTGCTATTATGAGCAGAACATGGTACTGGCCACCACTACTATCAACAATCCCAATAGCAGTCTCAATCATAGGTGCAAATGAAGTGGGACCTGTTGGTAAAAGTAAATCATATAAGCGACATTATTATTAGCACGTTTAATTGAAGAAGGCTACAAAATTCTGATACACTAACCAGCCAAACGAAGCTGCGGAACAATTTCTCTGTATCGCCCAAGTGCTTGTTCAAAGCCATCACACGGTTGGTTCTCAGGATAGAAGCTAAATACCTTTTGGTCATGAGTAGTAGCTGTAGTTTGAAAACAGGATTGTCATATATTCATTTTTTTAACAAGAAAAAAGAGCCTCGAGGCATGCTATGTACTGACCATCACCGAATCCAAAGCATGGTATCAGATTGTCCTCATCAAATCGTGCTAGGGTTCTCCCGATAATGGATATAGCCTGCTCATATGGGTTTGGAGTGTTCCCTATTGCATGCAAGCTCCGGTTGTGGAAGGACACTTTACCTAATTAAAAGTAGCAATCATAACTCACCAGTCATTTTTTAGGAGAAAGCACAACAAGGAAAACAAGGAGTGAAATTATCGTGACGTGATGTTTTCATCATTGAACAAACCTGTCCATTCATTGCTCTTGGTGAAATCAATCCCAACGATTAGATTTGAGGACTCCAGTCCAGCATGTGAAAGAGCATCAGTCACCTAGATTAAGCAGGGAACATAAGAACTAAACTGAATTATCGTGGTATGGGAAAGATGTGTTATGTCACATGTTCTGTAAATGGGAACATAAGAACTCGGTATGCGAGATGCATAACGTAAATTAGTCCTACACAAAGAGCATTCCACACACAAAATAAGTGGTTGGCAAGTAAGTGTGCGACTAACACGGCTAGACTCCAGTCAGTGGTTGGCAAGTAAGCATATCAAGAGCTCTACATTTACTTCAAGAATCAGTGCACGATTGCAAATTATCACACATTTGGGAAATTTTACCACCCCCAAAAAACAAAACAGAGAAGAACAGAACAACCTTCAGAGGATGTATATGAATCGATTAATTCTTGACATTAGCACAGCAACAAATGCAGTTCCCTCCAACACGGCTAGAACGGATCACAGCACACAATTCACGCACCACGGAACTATTTCCAGCCAATCGAAACGGCCGACGATTCCACGAGGCCCGCGTGTACCGCTGTACTAGGAGGAAGCAATGGAACCGCGGAGCAAGAAGAAATCACCGATCGATCCGGCTGACCTGCTCCAGGGTGTGGTAATCGTCGCCGAACTTGGCGAAGCGGTCTTTCCCTCCCGGCGCGGCGTTCTTGCTGTGGTCCTGGTTGCAATGGTGGTGGTGCCGCCCCGACGAGTTGTCCTTGGAGCCGAACGCACCCATGGCCGCCTCGCCTAACCAATCCCCCCTCTGTCTGACGTCCCCTTACTCTCTGTACAAACGAAGCAGCCAAGAATCGAAGGAGCCTGAGCAGAATCAGCAGTCTGCGGAGAAGAGCGAGCAAATCTTGGCAGAAAAAGAGGGTAGGGTTTAGCGGGGCGACCTCACCTGGAAACGGCGGAGAAAAACCCTCGCCGGGAGCAGACGAGAGAAGCGCGGAGGGGAGAAGCCACCAACCAACCGCCGGGATAGGAGGATAGATGGAACAGCCGAGAGAAGATATAGGGGGTTAAACAGGCCTCCGGCTGAGATCAAACAACCCACATTGCGCGAGGGAAATCCTTCATGGGGAAGCAAGCAAGCAACCAACCCGTGGGCGTGGCGTGGCGTGGCGTGGCGTGGCGTTGCAGGCAAGCAGAGCCAGCCCCCAAATCGAGCGGCGGGGCGGAGAGACGAAACGGGCAACCGGAAGGAGATAGAGTTCGTTCGTTCCTTCCACTTCGGGTTCCGTGGGCTAGATCTGGGCCGCGGTAAGTTGCGGGGACGGGCCCTCGCGCCCCCGAGTTCGCTGGGACGGGCCCAGCTGCCAGGGACACATGTGCTCGAAAAGGTAGGATAGGAGTGTGATGATGCGTCACGGAACAGACGATGGTGCTCCGTCAGGAGAGATGAACAGAAATGCGGTAAAACTGGGGCGACAGGGAGGAACACGCGGGCGCATTTTTAGCTGGTTTCTCGTGTACATATGTCGATCTTATCGACGGTGTATCCAGATAAGGCACCCTATGGCTCTCTATGTGCAAAATGACAGTTTTCATCATTTCATATTTGTAACATATATTACAAGTGGAAGCTTCGTCCTACTAAACAAAGAAACCGTCATCTTCACCAAACCTTGTGAACATATCACGTGAAAATGGGCACAAAGCTGGCGGTTTGACATTAATTATTTTTCTAGATGTGCGTCGTCATGTGCCGGCGGCCATTTTGAGCACCATCACCAAATGAACCCTTTTCGGCTAGGCATGACACATTCTTGAAGGGCAGAGGTTGAGCAAAGGACGGTTCTAGTAAATAAAAATAAGCAATAGATCATGGAGAGTAGGTGTTGGCACGTGAGTGTTGGATTCTTCTTTTTGTGAAACCCTTTTTTAACCCAAGTCTAAAAGTCCACCTCCATTAATAGTTCTGAATCCTATAAGTACTCATTCGCTATCCAGACTATCACAAGTAATTTCAGACGAGCCATGAATCTAAAGGAACCAGAGACAATGATGTGGAAGAAACCTCCAGGTAAATCGTACAAGTTGAACGTGGATGCAGCTTATTTTGAGAATGGTACGGGTGCGGCAGCTGCTATTATCTGAAACCATCGTGGTGAAGCTGTGGCGGGGGCATCATGGTTGTTGAATCATCTCCATGATGCGAAAACGGCGGAGGCGATCACGCTTTAGCGAGGGCTGAAACTGTTGGAAGACCATGGTTGTCAATCGGTGATTGTTGAATCAGATTCGATAGAAATTATTCAAGCTCACAATGGTGTAAATGAAATCTAGAGCTCTTACTCCCCTATATTAACATATTGCTTTCGGAAGGCTCTCCGTATAGGTGTTGTTTCTTCCATGCATTGTCATAGGAAGGATAATAGATTGGCCAACAATCTAGCTAGATATAGTTTTGATTTATGTAGCGACCAGAGTTTAAATAGTCTGATCTCTGTGCATCAGTGTCATTCCTGGATCGGCAATGCTGACACGCACAGTACTTGAGGATTAATAACAGAGTAGCAATCACACACTTATTACATCGAATGTCTCAAAAGGGAACTTATTACAATAATATGGCTTAAGGCCATCTAAAATCGATAACAGCGGAAGGCTTGGAAGATAAAGTGAGTACATCAACTCCAACGGCATCACTGAGTGAAAGACAACGACCTATGACACCTTACTCATCGTCTGAAAAGTCTGCAACATGAATGTTGCAGCCCGAAACGGGTCAGCACATCGAATATGCTGGCAATGTAACACATAGAGTAATGAACAGAATAAATGCTATCACTACATGCATATTTGGCTGGTGGAAAGCTCTATGGTTAACAATTTTGCATAAAGCCATTTTTTCCCTACAACAAAGAAATAAATTTTATTTAACTATCATGGTGGTTGTAAAACATTGAGAAGGTTCCTCCAACTCAATCTCAATTAAGCATCATCATTAAACCCAATCAAATTATATTTAGAGTGATGAGATCAACATGATAATCCAAAAACTAGATACTCAAAACGTCCATAACCGGGGACACGGCTAACCATGATTAGTTTATACACTCTGTAGAGGTTTGTGCACTTTTCCCCACAAGACTCGAATACATTCATGGTCGAAGATTCGAGACACGGTCTTTCTGAAGCATTAACTCTCTACTTTGGATAGACAGTACCACCTAAAACCCATTACATCTGCTAGTCTAACTCTTCAAGAGCTTCACACAACTTACTCAACTATGCCAGAGCCCATATTGGCTTGTTGCTGCACACGGAAGTTTCTAGCATGAAGAATCTTATGATCCCTTTGAGCCTGGGTGGCGGACTGTAGGATGATCACACGGGTACTCCGGGATATCCTAGGAAAACACTGGATTCTTCAGGTGCCCTGACAACTACTGGGTACTCCATGGTGCCTCAAGCAATCCACCCAGATGTGTATTTAAGTAGCCACCTTAAGTAAACCATTAATTAATAACACTCACATCTGTCATGAATCACTCGAACCAAACAACGTCTACAAGCATAGCATAGCAGTATAATCATAACGTAAAAGTAACTCCCAAAGGTTTGATAATAAACAGGTAATAGGTTCTACCTCATCATCTACTTCCCAAAACCCACATATTAATCAGATCCTAACCATGCTATTGTTTGAGGATTGATCTAATGCAATAAAACTGGGTAGTAAAGAGGTACGATCAAAGTATTACTTGCCTTGCTGATGATCCGTGAAACCTAGAGACTCGTAGTAGCACGCTTCACACTTCGGGTACTCTATTGCAAACAAACAAAGCATACAATAAGCACTCAACTAGAAGCACGGGTAAAACTCAAATAAGAGATCTAACCAGAAAGTTCAACTTAAGAACTCCAGTTTGCAAACAGAATCAAATCAAACGAAGCAACGAAACTCAAACTGCAAAAGAAACAAGATCCGTTTACTAATCTGGTCTAAAGTCAAATTTTACAGTGCTAAAATCTTGTTCAAGTTGATTAAACAGAAAGAGGGCTTCGAGACAAAGATCTAGGCGCTTGAATCGTCTGATTCCGATAAACGAGCGAAAAGATAAACTAAAACGAAAATCAGGGCAGAAATCGCGACCGAAAATAATCGTGGAAAACCTTGGAAAAAGAAAAACTGACGAACAGGCTAACGAACGAACGTTCGCTGTCTACGGCTAACGGATGAAAACCGTTCGTTAAAACGAACGTACGAACGGGCGTTCGCTAAATAACTAAACCGAGAAAAAATATAAACCCGGTCTAAAATAAAATAACCGAGGGTTTCTAAAAAAACCTACGGTTTCTAACGAAAACCGGCGGCTACCTCGAGACGGGCGGCGGCGGCAGCGGGAACTCCGGCGGGGCGGCGAGCAACACCGGCGGGCGGCGGGATCGGCGGCGGGGCGGCGGGATCGGCGGCGAGGCCGCGGGCGGCGGCGACGGCGTCCGTCGGCGGCGGCAGCAGCGGCGGATCGGGCGAGGTGGGGCTAGGGTTTGGGGTGGCTCGGGCCTCGCCTCTTAAAGGCCAGCCGGGCTGGAGTCCTAGTCAGGCACGACCCGGCTAGGTTGGTTGACTTTTTTTAAATAATTCTGTACAAAAAAACAAAGAAAAGAAATAGTAAACTCACTCCAAAAATTCTGAAATAAATTTTCCCCGTCCTCTAAAAATATAGCGGACAAAGTGAACATTTATTTGGGCTTCTAGTACAATTTTGGAAAACGCATTTTTTCCTAATTCAAATAAAATAGCAATAAAACTCCGAATAAAATACTTATTTGATTTTAATATTTAACCTCCAATATTTCTTTATTTTGGGAAAGTCATTTTATCCCATCTCTTTTATGTTTATATAAGAAATATTTGAAGAGAAAAATAATTAAAATCAAATGATCCTCTTTTCAAAAATTTGAGTAAACTCAAATATGAAAATAACGAAATCCCAACTCTCTCCGTAGGTCCTTGAGTTGCGTAGAATTTCCAGGATCAACCCAAAATGCAATAAAATATGATATGCAATGATGATCTAATGTATAACATTCCAAATTGAAAATTTGGGATGTTACAAACCTACCCCCCTTAAGATGAATCTCGCCCTCGAGATTCGGCTTGGCTAGAAAATAGGTGAGGGTGGTCCTTCCGTAGGTCATCCTCTCGTTCCCAGGTGGCTTCATCCTTTGTATGGTGGCTCCACTAAACTTTGCAGAACTTGATAACCTTGCTGTGGGTGACTCGGCTGGCAAACTCGAGAATCTTGACTGGTTTCTCCTCGTAGGTCAAATAGCTATCCAACTGAATCACTTCCAATGGTATTGTATCTCTCAAAGGGATATCTGCCATCTCTGTGTGGCACTTCTTCAACTGGGAAATGTGGAACACATCGTGAACTCCTGACAATCCTTCGGGCAATTCCAACTTGTAAGTAACTTCTCCCATACGCTCCAAAACTCTGTATGGTCCCACAAAACGTGGTGCTAACTTTCCCTTAACTCCAAATCGCTTAACTCCTCAAAGTGGGGACACACGAAGATAAACTCTGTCTCCGACTTTGTAAACTGTCTCCTTGCGTTTAGAATCCGCATAGCTCTTCTGCCTGGACTGGGCTACCTTGAGTCTATCGCGAATCGGCTTAACCTTCTCTTCAGACTCTTTAATCAAATCTGGACCAAACAACTGACGGTCTCCAACTTCATCCCACAACAAGGGTGTCCTGCACCTCCTTCCGTACAATGCTT